GGGGGGGGGGGGGGGGGGGGGGGGGAGGCCCAAGGAGGGACTCCCTGAAAAGCTGATGCATGTTCTTCTGAGAAGAAGCATTTATTTTTTAAATCATGCTCCCGTTCTATCAATTCAATGGATATCTATGTGAACTCTTTCATATTATGTGTTTTGAGCTGAGTAGGCCAATCCTAATGCTAATTGCATTGGTAAAGGCTAAAACAGTACATTGTATTTCCCGGTACCAACACTGCTGGCACAAAACAAAATATGAAAAACTGAGTATTCAAAAGAATAAAAGAAAGGTACATGTAGATATATCTATTCTCATATTCCTTCAAACACTCTGTGACTAGATTCTAAATGATGTCTGAAAAAAATCTTAGCTGGCTGATTTGATTTTCTACCTTTCAGTCAGTTATCAATCCAAAGTCGAAAAAAAAAGTTTTCAGCTCTACAATATTGTCATTATTGTAAATACACCTATTTTGATTTGATGTGTTTTCACCAGCCGGGAGGAGCTTTTTGACAAATCACTAACAAAAATCAGGTTTTGTATTCATGACATAAATCATGGAATCAATTTTTAAAAAATTTCAATCAGCTGTATTTCTCAACATCGGGGAAGGAAAATAATGAGAGAGAGAGGAGGGGGAGGGGGGGAGGTGACATAAGATCTATTCTTAATCGAGAAAAAACAACTCCAAAAGATTGGACACAAAAATAAACTTATTAACAGTCAATGCTACTCAGGCACAGTTAGGAGGAAACGGCAAACACTGAAATTTCATACCCTGGGAGACCTTCTCAATCTATAAACATTTGCAATCACTGAAGGAAATCAACAAGGATGAAAAAGTCTCTTCCCTGCTCTGAGAGAGACTCCAGCAAAAACCTTGGGGGGCCAGTAATGCTTAATGTTAATAATGCTGTTTGAAGCAGTCAAGTCAATGATGTTAACTAGAAGTATAAAGACTCCATCAGAAACCTGAACCACTGAGTGAGAAAATAATCCACATTTCTATTTTCCTGAGAGGTTTGTGGAATTAACTTGACATTAATTTGTAAAATCATTGAAATCATTGTGAATTTTAAATTATCGTACACTTAGTATGCAGACTTTTTAATGATTATCTGTACTACTCTGTTCAGATTTTTCATCAATTCAGTACTGGCACTTGAAATCTTCCTTTCAAGAAAAATTACTGCACTTCCAGTGTCTAGTTTAAATCAATCTGGTTTAACAAACGGCTTCGATGTGCTTCCTGTTACGACAAGTTTTTGAGTTTTCTCAGGTCTGAACAGAAGTAACTGCCAGAACAAATGGGAGCAGAGCAGCCTACATGAAGAAACAGACAGACTTTATTTAACATTTCTATCCAAATAATCACACGATAGAGTTTTAACTGAAAACTGTTTTAAGGTATGTGCCTTCCCAGAGTTTTTTTCTTCTCCTTTTCCTCTCTACACAAAGTAAAAAATCCCTGATAAGAAGTGATACCTGATAGTATAACCTATTTTTACCTGTATGGTAACCATTGAAACCAATAACACATGGCAACGACATTCTACTTAGATCCACATTCATGTACATCTCAAATATGACAAACAACACTTTGGCCATGTGAGATGATAGGCGTACTGTACACGTAAATTACAAAAGCTTTATAGACACAAATAATATGCTTTAAAAGTACAGAAAATATTAATTATCAATGGAACGAGAGACCAGAGACAAACGTCCTTGTATGCAGCCTCTGCGCCATGGGAAGTTTTTATACTAACGTGGGGACCCAGTCAAACAAAAACGAGAGGGGGCCATTTAAAAAAAAAGAAGGGACAATACTTTGATGAGCAAGCATAGATAACTCTGATTCGCAACTCTGTTCATAAATATATCGGAAGCCAAGACCCATTGATTGGCCAATATATGTGCACCCGTTGATATACTGTAATTATGTGTTGGCTACACCTCTTTTTAGAAGAAAAAGAAAAAGTAAAACCTTTGGAAGGCTTACGAAAAACTTTACTCTTTGCAAGTGAATGTAAATGCAAACGCACTCATCAACATAGTCACAGCTAATAGGAGGCAGGGAAACCACTTTGATGTACACTAACCAATATATCCCAACAAAACAAAAAATATATCTGTTCAAATATCTTCTCCACACGGGAAGTGAATTTATATATACATGAATATATTTCTCTTTTTATGTGTGTGTGCGCGCGTGTGTGCATGTGTGTGTGAGTGTGTGTGTGTGTGTGTGTGTGTGTGTCCGTACGTAGTATAAGGATATGTAAACCAATTTGAAGAAGAATGTTTTTGTTTTATTTTTTCAAAACCAAATCATGACATTTGAGGTAGAAAATAAGGCAAGGAGTTTGATAGAAAAGAAGATGGATGCTGTGAAATAATACATCTGAGCATTTCAAACCCAAATAGAAAAGTTTAAGTGCGAATCGATTGTCTTGTTCTCTATCTAACCGAAGCCTTCCACTACTTCACAATAACTGTTGTTACTTCCTCTAACCATCCGGGTCCCCTCAGAAATATACCACATGCAACACTATCCTTCAGTTGTTTCAGTCCCTGCCAGTATGGCTGTGATGTACATAACAAGGAGAGCCTCTGGTCTCAGGCCCCATGATCACCCGTATGTTTGTATTGCAATGGAGTCGTACAAGATATCACTAACATGACACATTCAGCAATAGCAATTGAGAAAACTCAGAAAAAGAGAAAGATGATTGGGCAGATAAGCAAAATATCATAAAGCGTGAAGACAGTTGAGAGACAGTGGTCTTTCAGAATGCACACACACTCATGAGTTACAAGGGGGAAAATACAACTTGATACAAGGAAGGAGCCACACTACAATGAAAGTCTGTTTAAACATAAAATGTAACAAGACTTGAAAAGTGGCATCATTTACAGAGTTAAAGAATCAGTTCTCTTCTCTTCTCACAAGACATGTAATGTCTGCTCATGACTGAGTAAGATTATTAATATTATAACTTCACTTCAAGCTGTCAACACCTTAAACAATTTATTGACACTGTTGGAGAGTGAATGATCTTTTAGGACAAGGGCCTACTGAAGATTACTCTGACTGATTACAACATAAAAATCTTGCAAGAAAGGAAATGATCTCTTAGAAAAGAAATCATTACTTTAACACGTTGTGAATATCCAAATATTTTACTGCTTTGGAATATGATTGTGATGAAACGAACTGCAAAACAGAAAGTACTATCTAAAAAGAAATAAGGAATATTTTTTTACTGGACAGTTTATTATTTTGGATTAGCTGTAAAGGCAATAATTTAATGCTAGTAACTGTTAATGGTTTGTAAGACAAATTCCTGTGGTTTCATAAAATGTATTTCTTAGAGAAGAAAATAAAAAATTTGATAAAAAGATGTATTATGTCAACTCTGACTTTCCAAGCAAGTTTCAGGTACTGCATACATAATTAGATCATGTGGTTAACTTCACAGAAATTACAATATGGTCCAACCAGTCCTGAAGTATTTTTGTCCAAAGAATCTTAATCAGTTTGAAAGTTTTAAACCTTCACTACTTTTCCAGGACCTGCTTCTAAAGTAGATGATGCCTCAACAGCAAACGCAAGGAATAAATTCTACAAGATTTTGTGGCTATCAAAGCAAAAAACTAGAGATAAGCTGGGCAGGGAAAAGAATCAGTTTATAAACAATCCACAAACAGTCACGAACGCATACCATACAAGCTTCATATTTTAAAGAATTTTTGTTATTTTGTTCACAGAGAGCAGCATAATTTCAGGCATTGCACTAGAGAGTAGGAAAAAAAAGCAGAGAAAAATAATGAAAATTTGTACCTTGAAGCAACGCACTGAATATATATGTTAATATGCATCTATGGCGATTAGTAATCTATTGGAATGCATACTAGAACAAGCACAGACGTAGACAATATGTATATGAATACGAAAATGCAAACGTATTCTGCTAAGTATGACACGGCTTTCAAAGAATAACATTTAAAAAGCATTTCAAAAAGTTATGCAACATGATTGTAAAGCAGTGAAACAGGTCATGAAACAGGGAACTCTCAAGGGAGGCTTTACGAAACACAGGGTCACAGTCAAATCAATGCTATATCAATAAGCCGAATACAACAAAGTAAAACCATAAATATGGCTTAAATTTGATATTGTGTGAACCAAGACGGCCTCTACTCTCAAGATCGATCAGAACAAGACAAATATCCTTTAGTTCAAAGCAGGCAGAACCCAGTCAGTGTCCTTGTGACAACATGCAATCAGAAATGTATTGAAGGATCCTATATCCGCTCTTGGTTTTTCTAGAGTTCCACTGATAAAATAATGTGTATAAACTTTTATTTCCATTTTTCATTTTATGTTTGTAACCCAACATTTATTTTAGTTAAGTTACAAAGCATCGTTACTTTGGTCCCTTTCCACGAAGTTAGATCGCTTGAGCTATGAATAAAGCGTTAACTTCAGATATAAGAGTACACTAGCCAACACTACCTGTAAGTTAAGAAATCTTTTCAGTTTTCTATGACATGTAGTCTAGCTGGATACAGAGGACTGATGATTTGTACAACAGTCATGTAGTAAGAAAAAATGCAATTATGGGGCCATAGCTCAATGACTCAAGGCCTAATGTTCTGGCTGCCAATTCTTAAGGAAAAGATGTCTTTTGAATATCCTAAGTAGGATAAAATTTATTTCCTCTCTCAAACAAAATTTGAATTCTCAAAACTTTCTTAAATCAAACTGAAAGTAAACAGAAGTATGGATGGTCATGAGAGGGCTACCTTTTCAACAATTTGCTACTGAAGAACTAGAAAGGAACTTTCTAGGCAGGTTTGCCTCCAACTTCAAGAACAGAAAGTTAATTGAGTTATGCTAATTTTACAGTTTTAAAATGCCCTAAAAGAGAACAAAGTAACACAAACCTTTGATAAGTGGGATGAAAAGACAATCACTTGCATTTTATTGAGAATTTTGAACACCAAATGAAATGTATAGTACATTATGAAATCAATTATTTGATATGAATGTTCACTAATTTTACTGTATATGTCTATTATGCTCTGGCTATAAATAACTTGAAATGTACTTAGCCATCAAGATGATAAAAGCGACAGGAGTTCCTTTTTTTTCTTTTAGCCTCCGGCTGAAAGTTCTCTCAATGGCAAGTGATGATCTCAGTTTTTAATTTTACTTGAAAGTGAGACGAGTTCACTCTTTTAATCAAATCTCTCAAATCACACACACACACACACACACACACACACACACATATATATATATATACACATATATACACACACACACACACACACACACACACACAGACACACACACACACATCTAAGCACATGCCAACACACACACAGAGCCAGTATAACAATGCGCATCCGTTATCTTTGTTAGCCCAATCTTTGGTCTCCCTCTTCTTTAACATTAAGCTTGTATCAAAGTTAAACTCCTGCAGTTGGAGTTCTGCCAGTGATACTAAAGTGATAAGATGTTCGATATACCAAAGAACCAGCTCAAAGTGAGTTACTTCTCAAATTTTGAGAAGGCTATACATTTTAACGACAATCATTTCTTGGCAGTTTCATATAGGCCTACTTACTTTTTTTAAAAAAGAAAGTCAAATTGAAGTCAGTAAATATTTATGTGGTGATGGCCCTGACAGCAATTATTAAAAAGGAAATATATGGGCCCAGCTGAAATTTTGAGGGAAAAAAATTAACTTCATGAAACAGACAGCCCTACTTACTTTCGGCACAGATCTAAATTGTCTCTCTAGTTATAATATAATGCCTACCCTCCCCAAAATCCAAAATCCCATTAAACAACTGAACTTAGAAATAATAGCATGATCATTAAACAAATATGATGACATATTTTGATTATCTCCTTTTGACAAGTAACTCACTTTGACAGGCTGTTCTACAAAATATTTTCATAAATTTAAACATTGAATATCATTTGTCAGAATAAATCAGTTGTTGTAAAATATCATTTTGAGAGTGTAACTTGAGTTTGAATTTGCATAGCAGCGGAAAGTATGCAGAGTACTTTATCCACAAGTTATTAATCCAAACAAAAAAAAACTTGCATGAAATAATGCACAGATGAAAGACATTGTTATTGTAATTCTTTAGAAAAACAATGGTGAAATCAACCCTGAATAAACATGAGAGTTGATTTCTCCACTCTTATCATTCGCCATTTTCAATGCTTTCAGTAACAATTGGTAGCTTATATTTTGTAACTTTATAAAGACCGAAAATGTTCTATCCAATCAAATATGTTTCTCTCCACCTCCTGAATAAATTTGGGAAAAGTTTAATAAGTATTTGTAAGGCCCTAAGAAATAGGCTCAAAGATTTGCCATAAAATGTTTCAGCAAACAGTTTAAAAGCCTTTTCCCCAATAATGAAAACAACGATTTGCAAGCTGCAATTATGAGATAACAAGGGATATGTATGGAAAAGTCAATTTCCTACCACTTAATTATACTGTCAAAGACTTAAAGATGATAAGGCTGACTGGTGGATCATTCTCATGTAATCAACAAACCAATGCCAGTATAAAGCCAAACAATAGGAACAAAAAACAAAGCAAAGTTTCAACTTCAATAGTTCATAATAACAACAACATAAGGTTCATGGCCAAGCATACAATGACATGGTACACTGCAGCAGTCTTCAGTGATGATGAAAGCTCGATTCAGATTTTGAAAGTAAAAAGAAATAATTGTTTAAAAAATCCCTGCACAGATGAATGCTTGAAACATTGGGCGTCAACAACATGAACATTTGTGGTGAACAGGCACCACGCAATAATACCCGCAATGCCCCAGCCATCACATCAAACAACATTTGGAACAAATTATTTTCAGATTTCTGTTTCAGATACCATAGATAAGCAGGGCATGGTGCAATCTCATTTTCCTTTTGGGAAGATGGTACATTATTCATTGCAACGTTCTTTTTGAAGAAAGGTGACTAATAAATCACAAGAGTCTTTAACTCCATCTCAGAACAAAAAGAAAACAAATGGATGGAAACATTTGTATTTCTAATTTAAGCTTATTTTATGTCTTGCTGTTGGAAAAAGACCTTTTGGATATTCAGATTAACGAAACAAAAAAACTGAATGATACTTCAAGATCAGGTGTTATAATGCTGAAGATACTCGGGCCAACAGAACGAACAACAAGCATAAGTGCTTTATTATCTCTCTGAAAACTATGGTACGTAAGCAAGCAGTTTTACTCTTTGCATGAAAGACGGTGTACAGCTTTTCAAGTTCGTTTGTTTTAGTTTTAATTTCAGTAAGGTTTTACGGTGCTCGCAACTGCATAAGGTCATATGGGAGCCAAGGGGTGGATGTCGTTTGTTTCTCAAGTAGGCAAAAAAAATAATTTATAGTATAGTGAGAGAAAATAATTTTTCGTAAGTTATGATTTCTTACTTATTTAATCTAAAGATTTGAGAAAAAAGACTGAGATAGTCCCATCCTTTAAACAAAGCCTAACTGCTACAGAACACATTTGTGCCGATTAATTCTCAAAAAACCCTTTTTCACAAATGGAGAAGTTAAGGAACTTTTGTGACTAAAATACTTTTAAAATTTCGGTTATAATTTAACCTAGAAAATCTAAATCTATGTCCATTTCTTGGAACAAAATGGGTATTTCTGTTTCAAACTTTTTTGTTGTTACTATTAAGCCTACTCTTGCAAAATTTCACGATAAGGACAGACTTTAACCTTTTTTCTTTCAACTTGTTTCATTTATCCACTTTTCTTAGTCTCCATTCTCACAACATTTTTATTCTGTCCATCCTTTTTCTGTTCCCAGTATGGGCATCAGACTAATGGGGCTGATTGCTATCATTGGCATCTTTACAGGCATTCGAGGTTCTTCAAACTGCATTCACATAAAACATGTACACATGCACACATGTAGCATTAAATATTTATTCTATTGATTCCTGAGCATTAACTGATGTCAGATGTCAAAATTCACATGTACAAACTGGGTGATCACAAAACAAACAATTTGGCATAAGCACACAATGCATACAAACTACAAAAGAACCCGCAACATCAACCATCACAATCCATAGGACAGAAAAAGCCTATTCAAGGTTACAAAAAAACATCTGAAATGATACGTCATCACACAAAGGCTGTATGTATATATGTTTGCCTTCACTGTAGAGGTGATCAGATGAAGCAGTTATCAAATGAAGAGCACAGGATCCTTTGGGTATGAATGTACAAACGAAAAAAAAAAATGTTCAGTTACATAAAATGTTTGTATGTACAAATATAAATTTAAACACCTGAGCTGTTTTTCCTGAGTAGTTCTTGGGATGCATTATCATTGCTGAAGAAATTCAATAAAAATGCACACCAATAATATGTGAGAGGTAGTTAGTCATAGGAGGGATGGATAGTGGATGAAAACATCATTCTGGCTTACATTTGCATGGACTGTAGACATCATATTTTAGCACAAACATTGCAAGAAAACTCAAATCAGTCAAAGAAAACAGAGGAAATCAAGAACAATCAACAAAATACAAAAAGTAATTTTGAAAGAAATGCCAACATTTACTCTCTGACTCAGCAAGTTAAGAATCTGAGCAAAAAAATGTTACTAGTGTAGAGTATCTGAGCTCTATGGAAACCCTGATCGGTATGGAGAAGATGCCATCATCCAGTGTTGGTGGAGTTTATTTTGTTTTATACGTTTAAATTTGTTTTTTGTACACCATATTTACGATTCTCTTTTATCAAGATCTGAAATTGTGAAAGGAAATTATGCCTGAAAAATGCTTATTTTTCGCCTTTCTCAATGGCAGAAATGTTTTTTATCATAAATAAATAAATTAGCTCTTTCAACTCCTCAGAAATTCTGAGCAGTTTGGGACCTCAACTAAACCCAATACTATTCATATTTTAGAGACTCTGCTGTGAATATTTGTGCTTCTATTAACACTTTTAAGCTCGATGAGGAGGAAGACTGCTTCTTTCCTAATGGTTAGGACTGATCCCAGCTGTGTGGGGGATACATCCCAGCAGCCCGTGGGAATCAAACTCATATCTTTTGTATGCTGTGTGAACAGCCTTATCACTCTAATACAGCAGGTAAACAGAACAACTGCATCATCTCCTTATACTGATGGGTTACAACAATCTTAAATTTTAGAACTCTACGAAATTATTAATTAACCCTCTACTGCTTAACTTTAGTCATGTGTTTCCCTACTGCAGTAGACTATACAGTATGCCTGACTGAAAGAGTTAATCAGTGCATCTCGTTTCTTTTGTTTCTTTGTTTCTGTCCTCTGATATGTAACTTCAGAAGAACTGAATTGCAACAGCACAGTTACTGCTTTTGAGGCTTTTACAACACTTCAAATTAGATAAAATGTCTATTGTATAAACAATAGTAAAAAAAAGTCTAAATGCGAAAAACTTGTAAGCTGTAGAAGGAGGGGATGCATTACATGAGTTACCCGTATTTGTCATCTCTCCAGTATATAATGGAGATACTTAAAAGTTAATTCTTAAATAACCAAGGAAGTAAGCAAACAAAGGATTTACAAAATGCAAATAAACAATAACAAACACTAAGCTAAACCCGTATTTCTCTATAAGCAAATCAGCAAATCTTGCTTTTTGCAAACCAGAAGCAATCGCATTATGGTCAAATTCACAAAAGGTATACCATGTACGTATTTACAGACAAGGGAAACAAACAAGAGTGTCCACAAAGTGAGGTACGAGTCGAACAATGTAAACTAAACAAAGGAAATATCCTCATATATATATGAGCTTGCGCAAATCGTGCTTAGCAACGCGCATAATGTCTCAATACAACAAACATCTAGTTTCCATAAACTAATCAACATTGACCAATGTTTAGAAAGGATTGAGTCATCATGAATTTGGCAGTGGCGCATAATGGTCTTTAACTTTTAGCAAAATCAAAGACATTTGCGTAATATGGAGAGTACAAGCAAACTTCATTGCAACTGGGTATAGTATATAGTAAAGTAAGAAAACTCCCTGCGTGTGATTTTGTATATGAAATATTGAGGTAGTTGAAATGTAAACATCATTAAATGAACAAAGATTGTCATGAAATATTCAGTTTCATTGGTATATATAATATATATGTATATATTTATATCTTTATAATAAAGAAACATATGTACAGTCTATGGTTCAGAGGCTGACTTTTCACTTTCTTCCACCAGGCATTTCCTTTCCAGGTTCCCATTTTCTTTTCAAGAAACAAATTTTTCCAATTTTCCTAAATTGGCCATGAATATGTTGTGAAAACATGTATATGTAATATAAATATATATAAGTTGGTAAAAACATTTTGAGGTAGAAGGGTGAAATTTGTAACGTTATCCACAATACTAGGGACAACACACAGAAGGTCGAAGGTTGAAAAAACTGTTCTCAAATTATAATCTTTTCCTCATGAACAGCCGTCTGAAGTCCATAGTGCAGTTATGTTGAGGAGAATTTATCCAAAAACAAGATAAAAAGATCAGAAACTATACCCGTAACTTTCATCTCTCTGAGACCTCATAAAACTTAGCAGGCAAGCATTACATTGCCAGTGGGAATATTTCTTTGAAAAAAAAAGTAAAAAAAAAACAAAACACAAACAAACAAACATGTATGCAAGTGAATAATAATATATAATAACTCGTGTATATATTACTGTTCTCTGCGGGCCACCACAGCACATCTAAAGGTGCATTCTTATTCCTCTTCTTGGAGGAGAGAACGCTGACCCACATAGCCATGTGGTGGTTTCCTTTCTCTAGTCGATACAGATCATTGTTTTTTGTGTTTCTTTCGTAGGAAGAATACAAAAGAAAACTTCAATCTCAGTCGTGAACTCAGACGGCTGAGGTCAAAAGTCTCTCATTTGTGAAAGGGGTGGGGAGGAGTGTTCCAATCAGGGAGTTGTAGACTAGAGCAGCGTGTCCGCGGAGAAGTGACATAGAGATGAGAGGTCATGTAGTAACCAGCTTAAGGTGAGCAGATATATGAAGCGTAAAGAAATTCTTTTCTTTACAGTCCTCTCCACAGTAGGAGCATACGAAAGGTCTGGCGCTGTCGATCTGGTGATGTTTCTGGTGCACGCGGAACATCGCATACTCGGTGAAGTAGATGTCGCAGAAAGAACAGCGGAACATCCGGCCAGACTTGAGGAGAGGGTGCAGTAGATCTGGAACGGTCTGTCCCTCCCGAGGCTCCAAAATCCCTGCGTTGGGGCTGGTCACTGATGTCGCCGAGTTGACCGGGCTCCCACGGTGACTGAGCCCACTGGGACTAGCGTGCGCCCGCTGGTGGGTCAGAGGTTCAGGACAGGTGGATGAGCCCACTGGTCCACTTGACACTGGTTGTGGGTGTTGACAGCTTGTGGTGGATGACTGGACCATGGGGCTTGGACAACAGATGTTGACCTGGGCACCGAAATCTTCTGTGGTCAGCTTCAGCGGCTCTCGGTGAGCATTGCGGTCAGTGTTGTTGTTGGATGCGTCTCTGGGAGAAAACTCTTTCTTGATAGCAAAGTTTGGCATGAACGGATTGTGAACATCGTTCTTGAACTTTACCAGCTCCCCGGGCTCCTCAGACTTGACACCGATGTGATTCTCCCGGACCTCCAGACTGCGCCTGTGAAAGTTCTCTTTCTCTTTGCTCAGGATGTTATTCTCCTTTTTCGATAGTTTATTCTTGATCTCTCCTTCTTCCTCTATGGAAGACTTCCGCTTTCCGAGGCTGAGATTCAGAGCATCAGACTGAACAGCAGATGAATTCTGATTGGATACGTAGGCTGGGTAATTCATCAGAGGGTTGGTCGAGGCGTAGAACTGATACAGGTGAGGCGCAGCAGCGGCCGCCTGGTAGCCAAACAGGTGGGGGGCCACGACAGCAGCCAGGTCTCCCACCATAGGGTTCCCCATGCTCTGGCTGGTCAGATGGTTGGATGGGGTGCGGGGAGACGCTGCATTGCGAGGTGGTGGAGACCCTACAGGACTGCGGCCATTTGTTGAGTTGTGACGATCTCGGTCACTGCCTGTTGCGTTCGGCATTAGTGGAGCCCGTGTGTGCTGTAAATAGGACAAAGACTTACTGATGCCGTGCTCGGCTGACGTCATCCTGGCATGGTGGCTGTAAGGTGTGCTGGCTATAGCAGCAGCAGCAGCAACAGCAGCAGCAGTCTGGGTGGTGGTAGAGAGCGACGGTTTGCTGTGTACCCCGACGGCCCTTGTCGGCCCAGCGCTGTGGTCGTAGAGGACGTAGTCAAGCATGGAGTTTCGCGAGATGTTGTGACGTCGGCCATGGCGCCTCAGTGTGGAGCCTCTGGTGAATCGGGCCCCACAGATCTGGCACTGGTACGGCTTGAGACCCTGATGGAGCTTCATGTGAGACTTCATGTTGTTTTTGTAGCCAAACCGCTTGTGACACATCGGACACTCATACGGTTTCTGGTCTGCATGCGAACGCTCGTGAATTCGTATGAAAGACTTCAAAAACGCCTTGTTACAGATTTTACAGACTTCTGTTTCTTCGTTGGCAATGCTTCCGTTGGGTACAGGCTCGATACTAGTTTCGTTGGTGGTGCGCATCTTCGTTGTGTCGTCATCCCCAATGGCTTCTGTCACGTTGTCAGCGCTGTGCCTCTGTCCGAGGTTGCTTCTTTTTTTAGAGTCCTGTTCACCATCAGAGAGGCCAGAGGTCATCAAGAGTGGGGGAATCTTATCATAACTGGAATCGACAAAAGAGAAGTACTTGAGAGAGTGCTGCTCTGCTTTGGGCAGGTTGTGGTGATTCACGAGATGAGCCTTCAGGTTGAGAGGTTCCTTGTGAGTTTCCAGACAATATTTGCACTTGTAGGGCCCTTCTTTGTGGTGTCGCAGGAAGTGGATGCGTAACCCATAAGCACAGTGAAACGAGTGGGAGCATACACTGCAGGCAAAGGCCTTTCTTTGAGCGTGCAGTTCTTCGTGTGCCTTACGTGTGGTGATATCACTAAACGACTCTTTACAGTACTGGCAGACCAGAGGGTTGTACGTAGTATTCTTCTGCAGTGGAGAGTTGGGACCTTTCTTTCCGCTGAAGCCTTCGTCTTCCATCTCACTCGTTTGGTTCAGACTCACATCTAAAGCGTTAAACTGCTCCTCGTCTTCTTCTACTGCTCCCTCGTCCTCCTCTTCCTCGTCATCTTCCTCTTCGTCATCATCTACAGGCTGTACAGACATGTACTGCTCTCTGGCTCTCTCCATCCTCATCTTGTTGTTCCACAGCACAGGGGGCGGCGACGAGGTTTTCAGCCGGGCGCCGGACACATTGGCCACAGCAATCTTGCCTTGTATACCTTGACCATCGCAAGGAGGGCTATTGTTGTTACCGCTGCTGGGCTGGTCAGCGTTGTTGGTAGATGTCCTCGTCAGGTCGTTCGGGCTGGAGGAATCTCCGTGGGTTGTGCTGTCAGACTTGGTCTCGCCTGGCTCTGGAGACGGTGGCGAGGTCGGGGGGCCGCGGAGAGAGGTCGGCGGGAAAACTGGCGGTTGGGACCGGATGCTGAAATCTGCGCAGTACCTGGCCGTCATATCCAGGCTCGGGTCTGGATTGAAAGCTTTTAGCAAAGACGAGGTGTTGGCTAAGACAGAGCTGGGTGTGTCTCGCTGCTTGGAGGAAGGAGACGGGGATGACGACGCCCATGACGCGTTGTCCGACTCTTTCTTGAACTGCAGGCTGTTGCTGTTTTGATCGAGTGCAGCGAGTGCAGCAGTGGACAGAGTATGGCCATAATAGTGAGCAGCATTGTAGGGATTCGTGTAGTTTCCGTATGCACTGGCGTTTCTAGAGGGACTGGGAGCTAGGGCGGAGGTAGGGGGAAATGATGTAGGGTAAGCGGGGTGTAGACTAGGCGTGGGCGGGGAGTTACTGGAGGGGGTGGGGCCAGACTGCACAATTGACGAGTTGTGATTGCTGCTGGAATGACTCCTTGGGGCAACCGCAGACGGGGAGAGCGCCGACTCCTTCTGGCGCTGCTGTTGCTGGTCTTTCATCGCCGCCACCGCTGCTACAGCAGCCGCGGAATTATTTTCTTCGCTCTTCGCCAAACTATTCGAGGCACGCAAAAGTGGGCATCGCCTCTCGTGATAGCGTCGTGTGGTGGAGCGAGTGAACACCTTGTTACAAAAAGTGCACATCCTGGATTTCCGGGGAAACCCGTTACTGACGTAGTTGTACAACTCTGAACCAAAGTTGTATGTGGGCATCTGCACGCCCGACAGCCCGTATGGAAACTCGCTCATGTTTTGGTAAGCCAATCCCAACGCCGTGTTGGCCGCCGTGGCAGCAGAAGTCGGAGTCCGCGTGAAAGATGACGAGTCTCTCACCCCGCCCCCTGATCCAGATCTCGGGTAGGCGTCATACGAGAACTCTGGAGGGCTAGCCCTGGACGAGGGCGGGGCCCCAACACCCAAACTGGAGCGGGACGCGGACAGACCAGCATAGCCCGGCAACAGCCGATGGGGGGCGCTCAAGTAACCTCGGTTCGACATATTCATATAACCTTCTCGGCTCTTTCCGGCTGGCGTCGTGGGAATCTTCTAAATTCAACAACAACAATAACAGTGGTAACAGTAATAATATGCTTGGACAGTTCGAAAGTGCTTCTTGCGAGATGTGGTTGTCTTCTCTGTGGAGACTCTCGAGCCGGATGTTCAGACGTTGCTGTTGGTGCGAAAGGAATAACGGGATGCGGTGACGTTCTGCTCCTTGATGCATCTCGGACTTGTCCGGGCTTGCATCGGCTCCTGTCTGTAAACAGAAAGACAAAAACACACTGGTTATACACCCAGGTCACACAGTGGTCGGTTCATAGAGATTGTCAGCTTGTCTTTCATAGTTGTTTGGTTTGATTCGGGTTTGTTTGTTTGTTTGTTTTTTTTTTTTTTGGGGGGGGGGTAAGTGTTTTACGGCTCTTGCAACTGCATAACGTCACCCTTATCCGAGAGTCTAAGTGTTAAAAATATAAAGAACCATAAACATGGAAGAACGAAAAGGTCTTTTAGTGCAGGAAAAAAGCCAGGCAGAATGTAGACAGACACTATAGGAAGGGGAAAGGGGGGGGGAGGGGGCCTCCCAGTAATGCCCTCTTACCACCCGAGAAGATGGAGAAAGAAAAAGAGAATGACAGAATGTGGAAGAAAGAATAAAGAAAAAGACAATAATACAGAGAAGGAGAAAGTGGTAATTATATATTACTACAAAATGTCCTGACAAAGAAAACAAAAGAGACAGACAGATAAATAAAAAGGAGAAGAGAGAGGGAGAGGGAGAGAGGGAGAGAGGGAGGGAGAGAGAGAGAGAGAGAGAGAGAGAGAGAGAGAGAGAGAGAGAGAGAGAACTAGGGCGGTAAAAAAGAAGTAAACCAATGTCCTCGATCAGGCCGGGCGAAAGTCAAGTACTCTCGTTATTCCTCGACAAGTCAATGCCACCATTAGTTTCCTAAAAGGTGTCTACGAGACCCTACAGGA